AGCATCCTAGATAAGCTAAAAAAAATAAAAAAAGCTAGGGAATTCCTAGAAGTTTGGTGTTTAGATAAATCAGCCTTCAATAGACACATAGAAATACTGCAAATCAAATTTACACGCTATTCAAAAGAGACAAGAAAACAAAGAGACCGTAACACATTCTTTCCAGTCTATACCTAGATAATCTAGAATTAACAGGTGGTAAACAATCAAGCAGAAAACAATATCCCAATCAAGGAACGCCATGGAGAAAACCACATCCGTAGCAGGGCAAACAAAGCCCATGCTCATTAACAATGATAATGTTACCATATTTTCCTGAAAATAAGGCCCAACCAGAAAATAAGACCTAGCATATTTTTAGAATGCTCCTAATATAAGCCCTATCCGAAAAACAATCCCCAGTTAAGATCATCAGTCCTGGGGGGTGGGGCATGGGCAGCACAGAAGGCGGTGAGCACTCGGGAATTGATGGTGTCTGGCAGCAGCCACAGCCTGCTGGCCCTTTGGCCGGCACACTCTGGGACTGTACACATGAGTCTGAGTGCTACAACCGCCAGGCCGGCCCTCAAAGCAGCTGGCAGAGGCATGGGGAGAAGAATGTGATATGATCTGCTGCACATGCTACACGGCAAGCAAAGACAGAGTGAGCAGCCAGCTGCAGGAGGCTCATCCTGTGTATGCAGTGGAGCTGGAGGATGACATTGGACAGTGTGGGCTGAGCAGGCAGGGGCCACAGCTTGGCACCATCCCTGCCCATCACCTGTCTTGCCTGATCCATTTGGTGGTAGCGCTGCACAACCTCATCAACAACAAGGTTGCCAACAGAGATGCCGAGAAGGAGAAGGAGGAGAATATGAAGGGGAGGAAAGATGACAAGGAAAAGGAGAAGGAAAAAACAGTTCAAGAAAGAAGAAGTAATATTAGTAACCAGGTTTAATAAATTAAATAATTAAACCAGATTTATAAAAGAATATAAAGAATGATAATACTGATTAACAAAAACAAATATTGGGTATAGTCAGCAGACGTAAAATATGATATGACTGATGTAGACTATATAGCTTAGTGAAATTTAATAAATTTAATTTTATCTCAGGATAAAATGAGATTATGATTATAATAATTATAATGGATTATTTTTCAGTATTATTAAGTTTTTGGTTATGCCTTAAGTTAGAGGTTCCAAACAGATGTCCCATCACACTTTAACATTTTTATTTTTAATCTTGGTAACTAACTCTTTAACTGAAATATGGAGTGCACTTAACTGAAAATAACCTCATTCAACTTGGTATGATTCTGGCATTCTGCATGTTATAGTTAAATCTGAAGGGCAACGTGGCAGAGCCAAAGTCTATTGATAAGCAAATTGGAGTGCCATCTTAGCTTTAGTTTTTGAAGGATTTTTTCCTTTCTTGTGTTCTGTTTTTCCCTTGTGTGTGCTGATAAACTAGACAAAAACATAAGCATCCTAAGACTATTAGTTTCTATTTTATGTTTTTAAAGCAAATTAAGATGTTCTGCATTTTAGCTTTCAGGAAACCCAAAAAAAAAAAAAGAGTGCTATTCTCATTTATTTTCAGAATCCGCCATGATTGTGATACAGGATTTGTCCAAGAACATTTGGTATATTCTGTATCCGTATATGAATCTTTTGCCCAATTTAAACCTAATATCAGTGATCACATGACATTGATATGTAACTTTTATGGGTGTAAAATTAATTTAGAAATACAGATAGTTCTTGTGGAGCCTACCCATGTCATGGTAATAAGTGGCTTATCCATGTGACTGACCCAATTTCACAATATTTTTGCAGCATCATTAAGTGAATGTGACGGTTATACAGCAAGTGCCTCAGTAGTTTAGTAAACCAAGGTTCCTTGAGGTAGACTTTCATTGCTTTTGTTATTCAACTGCCACTATGTTTCTTATTAGTGTATTTGCACGGAAGATTATTTTAATAATATGCAGGAAAGAATGACTATTTAGATCAGTGCTGGACATCTTATTTTTGTTCCAGGCCAAACAAAGGGCCACTTGGAAGCCTTGCATAATACAGGACTGATTGGTGTGTGTAGAGCTGAAATTCCCCCTCCCCCCGCAATTGTTTTTATAGAGACATCAATTATGTTAGTAATTTATTTAGCTGGAAGGGCCAGATCTTATAATCCAAACCCTACTCAAGCAGGAGAGCCTGTAGCATTCCAGACAAATAACTGTTCAATCTTAAAAACCTCCAGTGATGGAGCATCCTCAACTTCTGGAGACAAGCCGTTCCACTGGTTAATTGTTTTCACTGTGAGGAAATTTCTCCTTAGTTCTAGGTTGGATCTCTTTTTGATAAGTTTCTAATCATTAAGTTTCTAATCATGGCAGATGGTAAGATGGGAAAGCTTCAAATCATGGCAGATGGTACAGGACAATAAAAATAAGGACAAATAGGCTGAAAAACAGCTTCTATTCCAGAGCAGTAACTATAGTGAATTCTACTGTATAGTGCAATATTAATGCAATATCAGGGTTTTTCAATTCAGTTGTATAGAATGTGAAGGATGTGTGTTTTTGTTTTATTTTTTATGTATAATGTACACTAAAAATGGCATTTAATTTTGTTGTACGAGGTGCAATGAAAATAAAGTAAACTAAACTAAATTACTTCTTGTCCTGTTCTCAAGTTCTTTGGAGAATAGTTTGATCCCCTCTTCACCATGGTAGTCCATTAAATATTGGAAGACTGCTATAAGTCATCCCTAGCCCTTCTCTTTGTTTAACTAGATATATTGAGTTCCTGCAGTCATTCATTGTGTGTTTTATTCTTATGTCCCCTAATCATTTTATTGCTCTTTATTCTTTCCAGAGTCTCAACATCTTTTTTGCATCATGGTGACCAAACTTGTATGCAGTATTCCAAGTGTGGTCTTACCAGTGCAGTATAAAGCGGTATTAACATTTCAAAGTCTCTCTCTCTCTGACACACAAACAGACACACACACACAACAAATTTAGACTGAGAATTTGAATTGACTAATCCTTGCTTAGAATTTTTATCAAGTAATAAGTGGTTAAGAAGTGCAGTTGTTATTAACTTTATAAATAATCATTAAAATGTCACGAAATAATGAAAAGTGTTTAACGTATTCTGTCAATTCATTCTTATAAGAAGGCATGAGAGCCTCTATCAATTTAATTATTGTAGCAGAGCTCCTAGAAAAATCTATTATTAAATTAATATATTTTAATATTTATGTATTTATTAAATTTATTTGCTGCCCATCTCACTTCAAAGCAACTCTGTGTGTTTTACAGGATTAAAAGCATTAATATCATAAATGATAAATATTTCTAAAACAATAAAAATTGAAATTACAATGAAAAATAGAATTAAATTTAAAATATGGGGAGGGAGGGAGCTGGATACACTAGTGGGTTGATGGGAGGTGGGATTTCCTTAATTCATCAATCATCTCTAGTAGGTTGCTCACTTCTGGCAGAGCCAGGTCAGGAGAGTGGGAACTGATCTCAGCTTGGCCGGGGTGTGGAGGGGTGTGTGTGTTAAAGGGCAGATGCCAGGGCAGAGAATGTCCTTTGTTATTATTTTTATGTTCAGGCAGACAATATATGATTTCTTTATTAACTCCCTCCTTTCATTAAATAAATCCTTATTTCTTGGAATTTCAAAGAATTATTTATCAATTTTAAACTGTGTGGTATGTATAGATCTTTTGGATGTGATTATTTTCTGAGGTCAAGATTATAGAAAATTAAACTCAAAAATTGAGAAAAATAAGCATTTTATAGTGAGCTGTTTCTTTTTTTTTCTTTGCTATAAAAGATATACTCAATGACTGTTTAACAATTAATTCAGTTCCGAAATTCACCAACAATTTGTAGAATCTGTTAAGATCACATCATAGGAAGAAATAAAAAATCTGTTTCCTGATGGCATAGATATCAGAATTTTTCAAGTTGAACAGGAAATAGAAATGTCTGACAGCTTTTCAGTTTCCACAATACTGTTTGCCAGAAATAAATGACTGGGGAATTTGTTTCATCTGCTATAAGTATACACAAGTATAGTGTTATAATACACCGACTATGCTGTATATAGAATGTAAAAATACATTGTTTCCCAAGGAAAAACATCTAAAAACTGCCTCTAAAACAGAATTGTGACAGCAGGGTTGAGTGGATTTCTTTTGGGGAAGAGAATATGGAAGAGCTTGTCACAAATAAGATAGGTAGGATTTCTCTGAACAGTAAAGAATTTCTCTTTATTAGAATACATTCTTCTGTAACATATTTTGAAGATGCTTATTTTTTGTTCTATATAATTACATTATTTTTTTTTTAGCATTTCTAAATAATTTTGACTGCCATTTTAATCTAATTGACAAATTTTGTCCTATTGAGTAAAATCCAGTCAAGGAGAGCCTGTCTCTGAATTTTTCCTCTAACCTTTAAAAATAGGAAGTTAGTGAAAGGGCCTGACAGAATGTTACTTGTTATCAATAATTATTAAAGCCTAAAATAATTATTCATTACAGTGGGTGATGAGTATAAGGGACTTCCAATAAAATTGGCAGGATATAACAGGATAGGTGCTTCCTTTTAAGAAACGCATGATCACATTCCTGATTATTATTCAATTTCTTCTGAATATACTGTGCTTACTAACTGAACTCAGTCACTGAAATAATGCATTTATTCCTCATTTCTTATTTATATCTTATAAAGACAATTTCTTGGTATTTCTACAAACTTCAAGTCTTTTCTTCCATTCTGCTATTTCCTTTTACATGAGTGAAATGTTATTGTTATTTACTGTTAAATGCAGATCTTTTTATTTATAAATATGTTTGTAAATGATACACTTTGATATGGTTTAAAGTACTATTTTGTATGTGTTACAGTTGTTTTAATATTTGCTTTACCAGCTTTTCTAGTGTAAATATATCCTTCTTAACTTCTTCTGAAACTGTTGTTACGCTTCCTTCCAGGCAGACGACTTAGCTTCAGACTCTTGTGTATTCAAGAGTAAACACTTTAAGAAAGCCAACTCTTGTAATACCTGCAATCAAATTAGCAATTCCAATGGTATTTCATGCAGAGGTAAGCCTTACTATCTTGCATTTATATTGCTTTTAAATTTTAACTATTTATTTATTAAATTTGTTTGTCTCCCATCTCACTGCAAGGCAACTCTGGGCGGCTTACAACATCAAAATAAAAGCATAAATATATATGTAAATGTATAAAATCACAATAATTTTGCTGTAAAAATACAGGTTATAAGAGAGTAGAAAGTACTTTGTGGGGAGGTGGTGGGAGCTGCTATTACTCAATCAACCACCTCCTGTGTGATACTCACCCATCGGGGCCCCAAACCAACTGGCAAAGGCAGGTTTTCAGATTCTTGTGGAAAATCAGGAGGGTGGGAGACAATCTCATCTCAAGGGGCAAGATTTTGTAAAGGGTCAAGGCCATAGCAGAGAACGCTCTTCTCCTGGACCCCAGCAGCCAATTTTTTTTGACTGACGATATCCGCAGCATGCTTCCTCTGCCGGCACAAGTGGGCAGGCCTATTCCATAGGGGTGAGACAGTTCCTCAAGTAATCTGGATACATGACATGCAGGTGATAAAAAACAGCTTGAATTGCACTTAGGAGCAAACCAGCTGCCAGTGCAGCTCAAAGAACAGTGGTGTAATTTTGGGCAATCTAGGGATCCCAAAAATTGTGTGTGCTGCTGCACTCTGCACAATTTAAAGTTTCCAAATGTTCTTCAAGGGTAGCATTTCCATGCTCCACTTCCTGCACATAATGGGTTCCAACAGGCCTTTTCCCATTCCCACTGGGTCCTCCCAGGCCTTAGGCCTGATTCCCACCACACCAGGCCAAACACTTTTCTCCTCATTTATCTTTTGAAGAGCTCCAAAGCCTTCCAGAATGCTGGAATGGCCTGCTTCTTTGCACAGCTGGCACAATTCTGAAGGCAGCTGCCATTTTGTGCCACCCACAGAATGGTAGCTGCATTTGGGCACCGCCATAAGTCCTGGGAACAAATTGCTTTGCTGCCATAAAAAGGTCTGTACAGTGTTTTGGACGCTTTCTGCAGCACTCAGAAGCTACTGCAGCATCATGCAGACCTCTCTACAGCAGCAAAGCAAATCAGTTTTGTCTGGTGTCTGCCACTTTGTCCATGCCCAACAGTGAATAGGACAAAATAGTGCTTGAATTTGGACCACTGCCCCATGGCTTGGGGACACATAGCCTTCCTCCTTCTATAACATGAAATCTGGAGAGCTTCAAAAGGTAAGTGTAGCCATGATAGGCCTGTGGAGAGCAGACTCAAGCTCTGCAGGGTTCCAGCAGGGTGGGATGAGGGGAGAGAGGTGGGAGGGCACTACAGTGGCTCTGTGGTGTATCATAATGGCGAATGACTACAGGACTGCAACAATCATAATTTTGAAATCAATCAATTTTGAAATGGATCATATGTAGCTTGAGTGTCTGTTGTAACTTCAGATGTTCATTAAATGCCCTGTTGTACCTCAAGGGCCTTTAGTCAAACTACTGTACCTCTTTCAAGAAGAGATTGGACAGCCATTTGTCCAGAATGCTTGAGCAGGGTATTGACTAGAAGACCTCCAAGGTCCCTTCCAACCCTATTATTTTATATTCTATATTTTTAAAGAGGCCTTGGTTCACTTGCTCCTCAAGAAACCATCATCGAACCCAACTTGTCTGGACAATTTTCATCCAGTTTCCCACCTCCCTTTTCTAGGTGGTGGAAAAAGTGGTTACCCTGCAATTTCAGAGAGTTCTGGATGAAATGGATTACCTGGATTCCTTTCAGTCAGGTTTCAGGTTGGGAACTGGAATAGACACAACACAGGTCACAATTGTGGATAATCTGTGGTGAGAGCGGGATGAAGGTCATGCATCCATCCTAGCTCTCCTTGAACTATTGACTGCTTATGATACCATTGACCATGGTATCTTTTTGGGTCGACTGCAGGATTTGGGCTGAGTGGCACAGTATTGTGCTGGTTTAGTTCCTTTCTCCAAGGTCCTAATCAGTTGATAGTGAGCAAGATGTCCAGTCCATGGCCATCCTTTGTGGAGTACAACAGGGCTTGTTATTCTCTTCGCTCCTTTTTAACTTCTACATAAAACTCCTGGATAAGATCATCTGATGCCATTGGTGAGATATCATTAGTATGCTGATGATACACAGCTTTAAATCACCATCCCCAGTGATCCAAGCAATGTTATGGTTTTAATTTAACCTTGGCAAGATGGAGAGGCTGTGGGTATAAGGGATTCAGGATCCAATTGTTTATGATCTTTAGTTCTGGATGTATTGCAATACCCCAAGAAGACCTGTTTGTTACCTGGAGGTTCTCATGGACTTGTAATTCCTGCTTAGAGTAGGTGACAATCATGGCTAGGAGAATCTTTACACAACTTTATGTTATGTGCCATTGCGCCTTATCTTGACCAGATTGTATGCATCCTACACACAATCACTCATACTCCAGTTTCTACTCTACTCATGTTATAGAAGGAGGGAGGTTGGATTATTGCAATACTCATTGAAAAGTATTTGGAAGCTATAACTGGTGCAGAATGCAGCAATGCACACAGTTCTGGGGGCCCCTAGTGTGATACATATAACTCCTCTATTGTGTGAGTTGCATTTGTTATCAATTTGTTTTAAGTTCAATTCAAGGCGATGGTTAAAGTCCTATATGGCATATCTGAGGAGCCATGTTACCACAATGGGACTAGCCCGTCCCATTCATACCAGCAGAAGCAGCCTGCTACATATCTCACCTGCTAAGGAATTCCAGCAGGTATGGTCAGGGAGAAGAGCCTTTTCCAATGTGGACCTGATCCTTGGAATACTGGTGATAAGAATTACTCCCACTCTTTGGGCCTTCCAAAAGGGCATTAAAACTTGGTTTTGCCAGTTGGCTTCATCTTGGAAGGGGGCACTCACTGCTGGAAATGGTTGACAGGTAAGGAGACCTCATCCCTATTCTTTGTGTCTCTTGGTTTCAGTTTTAAAATTTTAGATGATTGTTCCGTTTATACAATCTGTATGTTGTCCAAGGTTGTCTTATCAGGGAGACATGTTGTATATAAATTTAATAACTGAATGAATAAATGAATGAATGAATGTTGTATTTCTTGAAAAAGGAGTTATGCTCAGGATTGAATAATGACTATGAATTGTTTGGAATGCCAAAACATGGCAGCAGTATAAGTGTATAGCAACTGAAGGTTTTTAAGTCTATGTAAATATGCAATATGTTTTTAATATTCAGTTGGGCAAAAGTGTAGAGGGTAACAGTTTTTGAACCAAGGTACCTAAAATTGATTAAATAACAAAGCATCCAAAAATTCAGCTCTTGTGGGGTTGAAATTTGGTGAATTGTGGCTTCTTTAGCATTGTTGCACTGCCAGTCAGCTGCAGTCACATGATCATCATTTCCAATTCTCTCTGTTAGCTTCTCACAAGGAGAGTCAATGGGGAAACTGGCAGGAAATCAGAAGTCCATGGCCAGAAGACAAACTGCTGCTGGAGGGGGAGGGGGGAAATGAAGTGTGTGCAAAGATACAAGGACGAGAGGTACCACAGCCATTGGCAAGATTATTTGAGAGGCAACATATGTGTCATGAGGCTGCAATGGTGTGTATGATAGACACTATGTGGTTTGGGCTTGGTGCTTAAGAGGTTCTTCATGGACCGGAGACATTGTGCAGGAATATGCAGGAGGTGACAGGGTGGTTTGGAGGAGTGTGAAAGAGGAGCCAAATATGTATGGGACAGAATCTGAGGATGCAAGAAGATTCATGAGAGAGACCATAAAAGTAAAATAGTGGGGAGGTGTATGAAAATGTGCAAGACGAACTAAATGGGTTGAGGTATGTGAGGGAATGTATGAGAGATGCTATGTGGTAGAATAGAATGTGTGTGAGTATGAAGATATGCAAGAAGTGCAGTGTGGGTTGGAGAGTATATGAGAAAGTAGGTGAGAAGTACTGGGTGGCCTGGGGAAGGTGCAAGATATGGGTGCGAGCATGAGTCAGGGAGGGGATGTGAATTAGAACAATAAAGAAAATAATGTGTATTGGAATGATCCTATTTTTAATTTTAAGGTTGTTCACTTTTTTGTGACATTTGAACATACTGTAGACTAAACTCTCACTGCTAAGCCAAATAAAAAGATATTAGTCCAAAACCTGGGTTCAGGAGTGATCCCTAAGTACTCCTTCCTCCTGATACCACGACCACTGGCATGTTGGTCATTTAGCAAGTTTCAGTAGTAATATGTCATTTTGAAGAAATAGTTTTCAAATTCTAAGTGGCAGATAGCTGAAACAATCACTTGGTGCATGGGCAGTAAAAATATTCCTTTTTCTAGTCACTGAGGTTGCTGTTTGTCTAGGCCACAAATAAGGGACATTTAGAATAGTGTGTCAGACCAAGAGAAGAGTAGGAATTTGGAGTTCATTGTAAGAGACAAAGCTTAGTGTACTGTAGAGGATCGGAGAATGGAAAGGTATCTAGAGACAGTTCCCCCCTCCCATCTCTTGACCAATACCTCATAAACTTCATAGGGCCTCTTCTTAAGCCTTCCCCCCACCCTAGAATTGATGAATTTCAAATCAGTACTCAAGAAAACTATAGTTGGAATATAGGTGTTGGGATAGCCCTGTTTAGGATGCTCGAGGAATAGCTGCCACCTTCTGAATGTGTCATATTCATAGGATTCTGTTGTCTCTTCTTTTGATAAAAATTGTGCTCAGTCACAGTAGAATTAGCAACAGATATTTATTTATTTATTTATTTATTTATTTATTTGTTTGTTTGTTTGTTTGTTTGTTTGTTTGTTTGTCATATTTCTATGCTGCTCACTCTCTGAGGACTCTGGGCAGCTTACACCAAAGACAGTATACTAAATAGCATATTGCCTCCTAACAATCTGGGTCTTCATTTTACCCACCTCAGAAGGATGGAAGGCTGAGTCAACCTTGAGCTGGTGAAATTTGATCCGCTGATCTGCTGAACTAGCAGTCAGCTAAAGTAGCTGCAGTACTGCA